GGCCTCAGACTCCCAAATGCTGGGATTATAGGCATGTGTTTTCATGCTCAGCCTGGAATGGCTTTTTAACTGGCAGCTCAACACTCACAGACCACCTTTACTTGTAACTGAGACATAGGGTTATTTTGTGTCTTCATAACTAATTCATATTATATTTAGGAGTAACAACATCTTTAAGGTTCACTGAGAATCCCTCTTCATGATTCCATATTTTGGCTATATATTTACTAATTTTAAATTTATATATTTTGAAGTATTTGAGGATGCTGAAGTGGGAATAGAACACTAAATCTTGTGACACCAGAACCACAATATTGGAAAGTCATAGGTTCTTTTGTGTATAGTGTGTGTGCATGCACCTGTGTGTGTGTAGGGGTGTAGGCATATGTCTGTGTGAGGCGTACATGTGGAGGACATAGGTCAATGTCAGGTGTCTTTTCTTTTTTTTTCTTTCTTTGTCTCTATAGTCCCAGGTCTCCCTATATGGACTGGAACTCGCTATGTAGACAGACCATGCTGGCCTCAAACTCATAGAGATCCACTTGCCTCTGCCTCACAAGTGCTGGGATTAAAGGCACGCACCATCACACCTGGCACCAGGTTTCTTTATCACTCTCCACATTATTTTTTGAGACAGAGTTTCTCTTACTGATCCTGGATGGTCAGTGAGCCCCTGGGAGCCATCTGTCTCTGTCCATTCCAGTGCTGGGGTTACAGATGCATGCCACTACACCTGGTTTTACATGGGTGCTGTGATCTGAACTCAGGTCCTCATGCTTGTATCGCAAACACTTTACCCACTGAACCATTTCCCCAACTCCTCATAGGTTCTTTTAAATCTATTTTAATATCATTATTAGAAAACATTCTGGTCCTTTATAGTATGTCTTTTCCATATTCAAAATAAACACACCAAGACCCTCTGAGTTGAAAGTAAAATAAAGTCCAACAGGGATTAAGGAAAGGTAAAGATACACCCTTGCAGAATGCTTTGTCACCCCCCTCCCTGCCAGGTCAAGCTTGTTTATTGTTTACCTTCTTCAACTGCCCACATGGCTTCCACTGTACCTCATGGTAACACATTTCCAGCTCATACCCATCCTCATTCCCAGTCTGCTCATTCCAACATCTAACTCCTGCTAATTTTGTGTAGGTGACAATACTATCTATGTCTGATCAATTGTTAAAATTTTCCATGTAATAAAACAGGATAGAAGTCCTAATAAAATAATTGGGCACTTTCTGAAATCAAGACTCACAATGAACTCATGAAAACATTCCTATTATACAACCTCAATAGGAAAAGAAAATCAATTTTACAGATCTGGGTGATTTCAACAGGAAAAATGGTCAGTTTTTAGCATAAACTTTTGATTAATATAAAATTGAACTCCAGTTTTTCTAGGCTATTATTCTATAATGTTTTATTCATTCCAGGTAAGAGTATTTCTTTGGTGCAATCTCTTCTGTACACACACAGCTGAATACTAGAGTAGTGGAGAAGACACAATGATGCTAGGTGATCTCATCTTATGCTTATAACCTCAAATCTCTAACAGGCCCTCTGCTCTCTCTAATGGCAAGCCTACTAAACAAACCCACTGGCTCTCTCTCTCCCAAAGAAGTATTCCTTCTCATTTCCTCTTCAGTCTCCTCTACTACCTCTGCATGCTCACTTTTACTCAGGATCCTGCCTCACCACTGAGAAAGCAGAAATAGACAGGAGCAATTGTACTGCATCTTTGCCATCAATGAATCTGTGTTCACATCTTTTGCCTGTGTCCTGTTGTCATGGGTGAAATGCCCCTGTACTTATCACAGGCTGACAAACCTTCAGCTCCAGTTTGGGATTCTATCCTGTCTTGCTGTCTCAAGGATGTGATTACTGCTATTACCTCCCTCTTGCAGGTGCCACAGGTTTCTTCCTGTTTGGAGCCATCTTCACCTGAACACAGACATTTTGTAGTTTCTCCTAACCACACAGCCTTTTCTAGTTGCTGTTTCCATTTTTCTCTACTTCTGTGCACAGCAACACTCCTGAGCTGTTACAGGTACTTGACTCAACTTCCCTTCCTATCCTGCTCAAATCAGGCTCTGCTCACTTGTGTCTTTGACTCTTATGTTGACAAATCTGTAGTTAAGCTCCTGATTTTCTTACAAAGGTGACCACAGGTTTCTTTCTGAAATGTTATCGTCAGCTTCTGTGACATAATCCCTTTCTAGGTTTCCTTCTGCCACATGGGTTGCTCCTTTTCTTCTCTTTGTTAGTTCTTACATGTCACACTACAAACATAAATGCTGCCACAGACCTCCTCCTCTTCTCTGTCTGGTCTTGAGGCTTTATATGTAATCTGCATCCTAATGACTCTAACATCTCTTATCTATGGCCTGATGTCTTTCCAGAACTCCAGGTATGCACACCCAAGACCTTACTTAATATTTATACCTAGATGTTTAGAAGGCATTTTAAAGTTAATGTAACAAAAATAATAATCTTTGTGTGTGTGTACATGTGCATGTTATGTGTGAAGATGCATGTGTGTGTGTGTGAACATATGTATGTATGTATGTGGAGGCCAGAGGAAAACCTTGGGTATCATTCCTCAGGAATGCTGTCTACTTTATTTTGAGATGGGTCTCGTACTAATCTGGAACTTGCTAGGTATGCTAGGTCAGCAGACCCAGGAATCTACCCATTTTCTCATCCTCAGCACTGAGATTACAAGTGTACATCATCTGGCTTTTTTATGTGGCTCTGGGGTCTGAGCTCAGGCCCTCCTTGCAGGCACTTCACCATCTGAGCTGAGGAGAATCATCTCACCCAGCTGAGGAAAATCATCTTGATTCCACTCTTTGACTTGTTCTATGCCTTCCTCTTTAAGCTTGTTTGTGTATGTGTATATACATGTTTACGTGTGTGTGTGTGTGTGTGTGTGTGTGTGTGTGTAGGTGCACATGCATGCAAAGATATATGTGGAGGCCTGAGGTGGATGTTAGGTGTCTTTTTCAGTCACTCTCCACCTTATTTTTTGAGAACAGACATCTCACTGAACCTGAAACTCACCGATTTGGCTAGATTGGCTAGCCAGTAAACCCCTAAGATATTCTGCCTTCACCTCCCCAGTTCTAGGATTATAGGTACACATCACTGTGCCTGTTTTTTTTATGTGAGTGCTGGGGATCTGAACTATTGTAGGTCTTCATGCTTGTATGGCAAGTACTTTACTGACTGAGCCACCTCCCTGGCTACTTTTAACTTTAAAAATTCAGTTTCATGTTTACTCAGATGCCCAAGCCAGACTCTCATCATCATCCTTCATTCTGCTCTACTCTGGTCTCATCAGAGGCCACTCATGTACAAGCAAGCCTTGTCATCTATCCCCTAAATGCATCTGAAATGTATCCACTACTCTTATGTCTACAATAACACACTGTTGAATATTGTGCTTTCAAGTTATCTTTTCTAGACTACTGCAGTAGCACCCTAAACACCACTTTGCTTTCTTGTGCACAATGGTAGTCATAAGGATTCCTTGAAGACATCCACAAGATTATGGTAGTCCATGCTTAAAACCCACCAATTTCAAAACCTAATGATTTAGTTTGATTACAACATGAGTTGGCCCCTGTCTATGTATACCATGCATGTTACTCAGCATCTTTCATAGTTGAAAAGTACTTAAAGTACCACATTCATTATGGAAATAGAACCTTTTTTGCTGGCTATTCCCCCTCTCTTATGTTCTCTCATCTCTGACCTTTGTATACATAGGTCCTCCCTGAAATTGTTCTCCTTAGAGACACCACTGACCCCAAAATGCGCATTTTTCTGGTTCAAGGTTTTTTATTAAAAGATTTATTTATTTGTGTGTGTGCGTGTGTGTGTGTGTGTGTGTGTGTAGAAGTGCCTATGGAGGTACTGTAATTACAGGTGTAGCTGTAATTACAGGTGGCTATGAGCTGTCCAATGAAGGTGTTAGGAATCATACTTGGGCCCTGTGGGGGAGTAGCAAGTATTCTTAACCACTGAGTCATCTCTCCAGGTTGATTTAAGTTTTATGTATTTATTTACTCACTTTTTTGTGGAATCTACAGTCCAGAGTATAGGAAATGTTTAATAAATATTTAGAATTATTAAACTAATGAAACTGAAAACATTTTCCTAATTCCAAGTCACCAAGCATCATTATTATCAGCTATAAATCAACAGCAACACTATTACACACTTGTTGAGTGACTGCCATAAGCCAGAGCTGCTCTACATCATCTCAGTAATCCTTCAAGTCGTTACTACTATCATCCTCACTTCACACACAAGGAGACTGAGGCATGAAAGGGTCACGCAACTAGAAAGTGGCAAAGCCAGGATTCAAACCAGGCAGACTAATTTCAGAGCCTACCCACTTCTTTCTTCCTTTGTTTGGGGGTGTGTCTTTTTGAGACAGGGTCTCCCTGTAGCCAACTGGCCTGGAACTCACTATGTAGACCAGGCTGGCCTCAATTTCTCAGAGAACCTCTGCCTCCTGAGTGCTGGGATTAAAGGCATGTGCCACCATGCCTGGCTATACTTATTTGTAATGTTAGTAATGATAAGAAGTGTTGATATCTATTAGGTATCAGGAACCTGAACTTTTACTTAAGTTAATCCTCACAGCAACAGTCCCAAGAAGTTTTTATATTCATTTTACAGAGGCAAAATAAAGTCAAAGAAGTTAAACTTCTGGCCTAAAACAGCTAGATTCCAACCTAGATAGGACTTCAAATCCATGTTCTTCCTGTTATACAATGGTGTTCACATTTCTATCAAAATGACTGAACTTTCTTCCATGTCCATAAACTACAAACAGGGATTCTTGTTGGCTCTGGGGAAAAGTTTCTCATATTTGTAATTTCCTTGACTTTTCTGTTCACTTAATAGAAATGTACAGACAACCTAATATGGACTCTTGGGCTATCTAATTCTCAGAGTACTGTAGGTTTCCTTGCTTACTGTATCCTCACCTATGAAGAAACTTTTCATAGGTCTGGCGGAAGGCAAATCCTGCCCGACGCACTCTCACGTTTTCCAGTAGTCCAAGGTATTCTACTTGATGCCGGCAGCGTTCATCATCAAATATCTGCGGGGATTTCTTGTCATTGGGTTTGATGCAACGTACGTAGTATGGTTCCTAAAGAAATAAATAAGCAAATGACAAAATTCACCGGAGGTCCAGAGAGGGATACTAACATACAGTTAGTGCACTACCGTGTCAATTGTGTCAAATTAATCTTAGTGCCTCTGATTCCTCAGAAACATCTGTGAACAAAGTATTCTTTGCTCCCTCAATTCAATTCTCATGCAATCAATGGTTTTAATAAATATTTTTTTATTTTATTTTATATGTATGAGTGCACTGCCTGCATACATGTCAGAAGTCAGAAGAGGGCATCAATTTCCCCTTGAACTGTTAGTTGCCATGTATGTGCTGGGAATCAACCCGGATCCTCTGTGAGAGCAGCCAGTGCTCTTAACCGCTGAGCCATCTCTCCAGTCCTGCAATCAGCTGTTTTTATTTTACTGTTTTAAGACTCATCAGAGGGGCTGGAGAGATGGCTCAGAGGTTAGGAGCACTGACTGCTCTTGCAGAAGACCTGGGTTCAATTCCCAGCACACATGAGGTGGCTAACAACCATCCGTAACTCCAATTTCAGGGGATCTGACATCCTCTTCTGATCTCTATGGGCACTGCACGATATGGGTGTACTTACACAGACATGCAAGTAATATACTCTCACTCACATAAAATTAAAAAATAAATATCAAAAAAAGATTCATCAGAAATAGTAGAAAGGGGTTAAGGAACAAATAACTAAGACATGTAAACACTGAGTTTCTGTAACTCAAATCTGTAGTTGAGGAATAACAGAAAAAAAAGCAGCAGCTGTGGTAAAGGTCAAATATGATGGCGAATGTAGTATAAGGAAGTGAGTTCTGATAATACTAAGTGCTCCCTAAGTGTCAGCTATTGTTGCTGTGACTATTATTGTTATTATTATTGTATTAGTTTGTGCTTCTAAAAGAGATTAAACTTCATGGGTAAATAGAGAAATTATCAAACCACCTATAGGCATTAGTGGTTCTATAAAAGAGCTCAACTACAAAATTTCCCCTCTATGCCAGTTACATTTTGTACCAAGCCTTAGATCATAACTCCTGTTAAATATAAAGCCATGTTTGGCAAAGATTCTGGTATACTGAGGATAATGAATAAATTATCACTAGATGAATCCATGAGGTCAAATATATCCTACTTGTAACTATACAGAGTTTCTCTTCTCTGAATCCATTATCTACCAGACACAGATGCACTTTAATTAAGATAGAGAGTCTGAGCCGGGTGTGGTGGTGCACACCTGTAGTCCCAGCACTTGGGAGGCAGAGGCAGGTGGATCTCTGTGAGTTCAAGGCCAGCCTGGTCTTCACAGTGAGTTCCAGGACAGCTGGGCCTACAGGAAGACCCTGCTTCAAAAAGACCAAAAAGAAAAAAAAGAGAGAGAGTCTGATGTAGTTATATTAGGCAGTTTTGAGCATCACAGAGGACTTCAGATGGCAAAGGGGTAGCAAATAATTTAAGAGGTAGGAGAGATTTGAAGAATGTGAATTGATTTGCTCTTTGAACAAAATAACAGCTTTCAATACCTAAAAAGGAAGCTATAATTATATATTTATCATGTTCCCTACATAATAACAAGTAATGTCTTCTTCCTTTTTGCAAGCCCTGCTGTATTAGTTTCCTATTGTTCCTGTAGCCAATTATGATAAATTTGGTGGCTTAAAACAATACAATTTTATTATCCTACAGCTCTGGAGGTTAGAAGCATGAAATGGGTCTCAATGGGCTAAAATCAAAGTGTTATAGAGTTGTTACTTTCAGGAGGATCTCACAGACCCCCTTTTTTTCTGGTGTGATGGTAAATCTTGATTGTTGTGGCTGGACTGACGGCTCAGCAGTTAAGAGCACTGGTTGCTCTTGCAGAGGACCCAGGTTCGACTGCCAGCACCCACATGGTGGCTAACAACCATCCATAACTCCAGTTCCAGGGGAATCAGACGCTCTCTTCTGACCTCCATGAGCATTGTATGACAAGGGTGCACTTTTATACATGCAGACAACAGATTCATTATATAAAATAAAAATAACAAATTTTTTTTCTTTTTTTAAATTGATTTTTTTGTGTGTATTTTATACAGAACATTCCTAACAATCTTACTCATCTTTATCCCCTCATTCCAAATGGCACCCTCCCGTAGTCCCCCACCCCGCACTGGAGCCCATATACTCTGTCATCCCTGTTACTGTCCACTGTTTTATCAATGCCCCTAGCCATTCCCCAGTGCAAGTCCATCTGCTGAGTCTAGTCAGCCTATCTAAAGTCCCTTGTTTTAGGAAGAATCAGCTCTTCCTCATCTAGCAGCAATCAGTTGCCAACATTCCTTTAGGTAAGACTGGGGTCTGCTGTAAAATATTTTTTAAAATCTTGATTGTTAACTTGATTGAATTGAGAAGTATCTAAGAGATTAGTAAAGTACATCTCTTCTTCTGAGAGGGCACTTACAAGAAAGATTAATGAAAGGGGGAAAGAATGGGCCTGTAGGTGAGCAGTACTACCCTAGAGGCCGGGGGATCTGAATGGAATAAGGGGCAAAAGGAGAGAATTCATGTGTATTCTGTTTCCTGGTTGCTGTGATATGAACTGCCCTGTTCTAGCATACTTTCACTGTCACTATGGATCAAAACCTTGAGTCCAAATAAACCTTATCTTTTGGCAAGTTGTTATGTCAGTTATTTTTGTCACAACAATAAAGTATGACTAACACATCCAGTTTTAGAGATCCATATTTCTGGGCCTTCCTTTCTACCTCACACCCAGCAATAGCTAGCTGGATCTTCTCATGATATCAGCTCTCTGATTCTAACTCTTCTGCCTCCCTTTTCCCTACCAAAGGACTCTGTGATGATATACTGAATCCATCTGGATATCCTTGAATAATCCCTAACTTTAAGGACTGTGGATAAACAGCCTTAACCCTGAGACTTTATTTTTCATGGACATGAGGGGGAACTTATGGTACAACAATAATAAAGTATGAAAGGTATAATTAAATGTATGGAGACTGAGTTCAATCATGCAGCCACTAATGATTTCATCATCTATACAATGAAAACCAGATAAAAAGCCAGGGCACGTAGGTTTGGAGGAACTTCCTGTTGTGCATGCACTGATGTACTGGGCAAATGGTCCAACCTCACTCCATAGTGCTGGAAGGCACTGTGTTTGGATCATTGCCAGCCTACTTATCTCTTCATCTGGCAGTTTGTGTCTTTTATAATAAAACTGTTGTCGTAGGTATAGCATTTTCCTCAGTTCTGTGAATGCTTCTGACAAATTATCAAATATCAGGAGGGGCCCCTGGAACTCTAAGAGTTGTGTTCAAGTCATACAAAAGTGTGTCCCAGAGACCTCACTCACAGATGGCATTTGAAGTCAAGGTCAGTCTTTGTAGAGACTTTGTCCTTTAACTTGTTGGATCTCATAACAACTCTATCTAGTGAGTGTCAGAATGGATTTGAATTATAGGACACCTAGCTGGTGTCAGCGTTGGTGCTGCCACACAGGGCCCATTATTCCGTCTAGCACACTTGTATTTATTTTAGTTTTGTTATTTATGAGAGTGAAAAACATGACCATGATATTTGCAGCATATCCCATTAAGAGGTGAGAGTCTTTATGCCACACTCCGAATCTGAGATGGCCTTGTGACTTACTTTACCAATACAATATGGCAGAGGTGACACTGGATGATTTCTGGAAACTTGTCCATTAGAGGAACACTTCTAGCATGTCAAGAAGCCCTAGACTAAAAACTATATAAATAAAGATACCCAAATTATCCAGCTATGCCACTAAGTGAGACCATCTTAGACTGGCCAGTCCCAGCTGACTGGAACTTCTTGGTGAGCTCAGCACAACTGCCCAGACAACCCAATGAATCAAGAGGAATGATAAACTGTGGTTCTCTTAGGCACTGTATTTCAGAATAATTATGTATTAAGAGATAATTGGTAACTCTCTCCTATTCTAGAATGCCAATACTCGGCTTATATTTAAATTTTTGTATATTTAAGTGGAAGATCAATATTATAATGTTCAAGCAGAATTCTACTTAAAAATAGCTATCGGCTGGCCTGGCGTGGTGGTGCACGCCTTTAATCCCAGCACTTGGGAGGCAGAGGCAGGCGGATCTTTGTGAGTTCGAGGCCAGCCTGGTCTACACAGTGAGTTCCAGGACAGCTGGGGCTATAGTGAGACCCTGTCTCAAAAAGACACACACATACACATGCAAAATAGCTATAGGCAGTAAAAATCTGTAATAGTTTTCAAATAGAACATTTATACACATCTTAATTTTAAAAGGGCACATAGTAAATTTTAAACCAACTTAGTGGGGTAGGGAAGTAAGAGGGGCACTGCTTACTTGAGAATCCTGTGTGAGTCTTCTGGTATAGATTTTATACTTGGTGAATAAAGGAAGAAAAGTGGCACTAAGTGCAAGAAATATCAAAGTGCTCTGGGTCTGTCACATGTTCTGGAGCTGGGGCAATACTGCAGACTTGGGATATCTGCGTCTTAGTCCTCTGCTACGAACTAATGGGATAGTTATGCTTCATTGTCAATGTCACTACATTTAGAATCATCTAGGAGACTGATGTAGGGCACCTTTGTGTGTTCCTGTGGGGACATTTTTAGAAAAGATTAACTGCTGGGGGAACACCTGCCTCAAATGTGGGAAGTACCATCCTATGGGCTGAGGGTCTGGATGGAATAAAAGGGGGAACAGGATACAGCCAGCAAAGTATCAGCATTTTCCTTCCTTTCTGCTTCTGGCCTTCCATGATGTCAACTATTCTGAAGACCCAAACTTTCTCACCATAATGGACCAAACCTTCTAAAACTACAATTCCAAATCTTTTCTCCTTACATTATGATTGTCAGGCACTTTGTCAAAGTGATGAGAAGAGTAAATAATACAATTACCTCTGAGAAAGTTTCCTTAGATCTAATTAGCTAACTAATGAAATGATAATTAGGTCTTCAGCTTTGAGCAAGGACAGACTCAATAATTTAA